CCTTCCTCAATAAAACCCAGAAGATGCCACAACTGCCACTTTGCAGTGGTAGATGGGAGACACCTCACCTCATCACCCATTCCTCACAGAAGGCCAGTGTGGACTGCTGTCCTGGACCCCTCCTGGAGAAAAGTCACGTGGTGGTGAGCAGAGCGGGAACAAACCGCTCTCTGTAAGAAGTGCCTTCATCTTCGTGCAACCTGATGAGAGACTGTCTGACTTCAAACAGCCACAGCGTGTCTGGGGCGCTTACAGCCATTCCAGATGTGGAGTACTGAGTCACACAGCAAACACATACAAACAGGGGACTGAGAACAACTCTTCTGTGCAGCTACAGCACAGCTGAGGGCCCCACATATTTATAAAATGACTGCTGGCCAGAGAGGCTTCTGAGCCTGCCTTGCTGCCCAAGACTGGGGAATGATTGTAGCATGCAACGTTCAGCAAGGCCCCCCCAACAGATTTTATATATGCATCTCTGCTTTCGTCTCCCACCTCGTACACAGTAGCTTGAACATTGTCTCCATCCTTAACTATACAACTTGCGTATTTGCAAACATCTTTTTATCTTAAGACTACAGACAGGCAGATTGCTCTTAGGTCATTAAACTCAGTCTTATTGTATGAACCAACAACCATATAATCCTCCCCTTATTTTTGTTTTTCTAAGGAACAAAAAACAAACTGTTTTTTGGTGTCAACAAACAATCCCAGAACCTGACTTCTTGACTGTTCAGGAAACCGACGTGTCTTGGGCAAACATTCTTTGTAGCTAACAAGCACATGCTTTTTCCTCGTCTGTTAATTTAAGCCCAGCACCCCTTCCCCAGCCCTCTCCCCTCACCTGAGGCATGGATTCCCAATAGCTGCAATACCCTGCACTTAAAGAACTCCTCCACATCCAAGTGGCTGAGCACCTTAATCGAGCTTGAGCACGCTAACCTCTCTGAGAAGTTCACCCTTTTGAAATCAATAATCAGAGCTGCAAGGGTAGCTTTATTTAGTCTTCCATTTAATTTAAAAAATAATCATCTCATGGTCATCAGCCTTTCCATAGCTTCCTAGTTTCTGTACCAAAAAGAAACAGTACCAAAACTGACTGAAGAAGGAAGAACTATCTGAAAAATAATTCATCAGCCATCGTTGCTAACCATTTCTTGAAGCTTTTCAATCTATACCTGAGAAATCAAAGCCACCACAACACATAAATGAGACTGGGGCCTACGGAAGAGTCTCAGCACTAGAAACTCACAGCCAAAATTATTTTGACCAACACACATCCAGTTTTCATCCATGGTACCCTTTACCAGTTTCTTCATAGTAATATAGCAATATTTCTACATACACAGGCAAGGCATTCCACCTCTACCTTTCCCAAGCAACCAATCACATTTAACAATATTTACATTCTGCTGTCCTTTTGTTTACCCCAAGATACTCACTTTCACACCTGGTATGATAAATTCAAGTTCCTATGTTTTGTTACCCATCCATCTACCCACTGATATTTATCCATTACCACATGCTTATTTACCTGATTTTCTTTCCTGAAGCTACAGATATTCTCCTCTGCCTTCAACATCCTGGTTTCTCTGTGTCCTTGTTCCTTCTTAAACTCCATGCCTCAGCTCTCACTGTGGGCTACACCTCTCTTCTTGTGGGGACTAGCTGCTCATCTCCTTTTCTTTCCTTCTTTCTCTTTGGTTTCTGTTTCTTTCACCTCTTCAGCAAAACCAACATTTATTTTTAGGTCTCATCCACTAGTAATCCCCTTCCTCCATTCCATCCTCACAGTCACACAAGCAGAGGTCCTTCACCCTAGGCAGACACCTGCCCTTTGTAGTCTTCTGCTCACCCATCACACCTGCAGCCTCCTTGCCTCTCTAGCACACCAACTGAAGACAAGTGGTTTCAGCTGCAGCTCCAGCCTTCCAATCTTCTCTCTCATGCTTTCCAGCTTTTCGAGGCCTACATGGCCTCTGCCAGAAATCCTCAGTGGGTTAATACTCATCCATAACACCTTCCTCCAGTCACACTCCTGTGCTCCACCAGCCTTTGAACCTTCCCAATAACCGTGTCTATAATCATTGTATTCCTCCTTTGAAAAGAAAGGTACAGCCACACCATCCTCTTCCCTACCTAATCCCTTAGCCACAAGACCTCAATGAGCCCAAGCTAGCTGGTGGTAAAAGACTTGTCTGGGTCAGCTCCACCCCTTAATGAAGCTCATCTAGGAGCAGAGGTAGTCCCTCAGCAGTAAGGCTGCTGTCACTCTCCAAAGACTTAGCAGACAGACCTGTGACAGCCTGTGTAACCCCCCAAACTAGGATTGTCTCCTTGTTCCCAAGAGCAAGTCCCACACAGCCCCCTTCCCAAACATTACACCAGTTGCTAAACTGCTTGTTGGCCCTCAAGGGTTGGAGCTTTTTCTATCTCTTAGTGCCACAGAAAGGACAAGTAAAGCTGAGGTTTGCGGGAAAGATATATGGGAACTTTCAGTCCTTTCTGAGCTGGTCCACAGGCCCTTCTGACTGGGGCAACCAGAGAGGTGGCAGTGCCCTCTGTGATGATAGACACCTCTTTGACAAAACAGGCGTAAGTCTGGTGCGCACCATGTCTCTACATGGGCTTCAGAGCTGACCCTGTGAATGAATGAGGACAAGTGACACCAGCGATACCTCCACTAACAGCTGCTGTGTGTGGACCAGAGAATACAGCACCATCATCCAGTACGATCACCAGCTCAGACCCCATCCATCATCCAGCAGTTCAGAGTTAGATGGATGTTCTTGTTTACAGGGATGAAGGGAAATGACTGCTTCCAGCTCCATGGTCTTCTTGACTCATATCCTTAATTCAATACTATCATCACAGTCAGTTCCTCTTCCTAATATCTCCAGCTGGAAAAGGAGAAAGCAGATACCCCGGCTCCACATTCCTGGTATGGCCCACCACTGCCAGCAGGCACCTTCTCAGCAGAGACTTGATTGAGAGCAGACAACAGCTTAGACAGCCCTAGTGAAGAGGTAACTGCCATGTCCATTGCTGCATGAAGACCCAGGAAGGAATCAGAGGGGAAGGATCGTGTAGCGAAGAGAAGCTCCACAGTACAAAGGTACATGTGTCGTTCTGCTCTATAGGAATAGTTCAGTTCAGTTCATCCCAGCATCTTGCACTGCTGAATGCAGCCAAAGGATGAAGAGGTAGACAAGAAGCAGGGAAAAAATTAAAAGAAGGCAACGCAGGTGAAGAAGTGAATGAATGAATGGGAATCAAAAGGGAATCAGAAATGCTGAAAATGTCAAAGAGAGACCTCTCAATGCATCACAAAAATAAATACATTTTTAAAAGGATGACAGATCAGACGAATGTAAGGGTTAACAAAAGCAAGGCAGTTTTTAGGAGGAAGTTCACTACAGTGTTGCCATCAATTGGGCACACACAAAAGGTCAGATTCTCCACTGATATTGCTCCACTGACTCCAATAAAATTACTAATTCGCACTGCTGATGAGATTGTACCTGGCTCTATATCTAGCTACCCCTTCTTACGATCTAAGATTTACTGGCAAAGCTCTTGTTGAAGTCAATAGGGCTGTGCTGCTATGCATTTACACAAGAATCCAGCTGAAGTCTTTCCCTCTTTATCTGGAAAATGTAGAAAATGTGCCACTTTTGATGGTGAAGGAGCGATCTGAGGAAATTTCCTCTTTTCTGGTATAGCTGCGCTATGCCTGTTCTCTTCTCTACATCTGGGTAATTGCATTTCAAGCAAAGGCTTTCTAGCCAGAAAAAGGAGGCCCTGCAAAACGAGTTAGAGGAAACCACAAGTTTGGCATCAGAGCCAGCATCCTTCTCTGAATCCTCACGCCGAGTCTGGCTGTCTGAAAAGCTCTGCTTGAAAAGGAGCACAAGATTTCCTCACATGCATGTGACAACAGCTGCAAATATTTCCCCTTGGTCCATCACATGCACACAAATCCATGTTCCGTTGAACCCCCAGATATGTGAAAATACAGCCCATGTTAATAGATACAGCAAGCACCTAGGCGCTGAGGAAAGCATGCAAGTCCATAGTACCTCCTTGTGAAGACATGCACCCATTTACACATGGAGCTTTCACCTCAGATACAACTGGCAGCCCAAGCAATGAGCATACACACAGCATCTGTGGATACCAGGCTGGACTGTGACCTCTGTCGCAGCGTAGCAGAGGTGGAGCTTTCGTCCTTCTGAGTGGCAGAGGGGTACACAAACGAGGCTGCTGCTGCTGACGGAGGAAAGGATTTCAGCTTCAGGCTCTAACAATAGAGGCTTGTCCAAAGGCTCCAGGTTCAGTTCCCACTGATGATCCACCCAGAGTGGTTGTCAGAGCAACCCTGGCCTTAGAGGTAGGGAATTACTGGAAATGACTTCGCAATTATTTGAGCTCACTCAGGGGAATGGTCCAAAGTTGTGCATACACAACCCTCTCCAGAGTGGAGTCAAGTAATCTGAAATCCCACCTGGCCACCTATCCGCACGAGCTTTTACGCAGACCAGAGCCAGAACCAAATCCTGCGTGGTGAAGCAAGAAATCTTTCCTTGGCACCTTCTGCATCCTTCCCCCCCGCCCCGCATTTACTTCCAAGTGAATGCTGTGGTGGTGGAACCGGCCAGCCCGGCAGCGTTGACGTTTTGTGTTTATCCACGCCAAGGGGAGCTGCTCCACGTGATCCTCTTCTACCGACATCCAACCTGTCCGAGTGGGGAGAAAGCTTGGTGACCTCTAGGACAAGCCAGCCACTCATCGACCATACAAATAACGGAACGAGCTTTGTGAGACAAGCTGAGCCGACTTAGGAAACCAATGGGCAATCTCTCAAGGGAAAACAAACAAGCAACGGGGTTAAAAATCACTTCAAAACCATGAAACTGCTAGTGCTAAGCATGCTGTGAATCTGTTTACCGTGTATTTTAATCATGTAACTGATCAGGTCACTGTAACATACACCACATGTTAAGATAGCTGCAGCAGATATAAAACTGGTCTGATTTCACACAGTAAAAATGTCTACATGCAAACAGAAATATATTACATGCATTTCATACAAAGCCTTTCTTCTTATCATTTTAAATACATATCCCAATTGTTTTGCCCAGTTTGGAGCCCACTTGAACATTCTGGGACTGCCCCAAATCCCATATGGGTCAAGAGCTCACTGACTCCAGTGGGTGTTGGATGAGATCCTACAAGATCAAAATTCCTGTAAGGACTAGTGTTTCAGTGTGGTTGGGCTTGCATTCCATACAGAATACACTGTAGTTACACCATCCTTACAGTGTAGCTACAGGGTAACCTTAGAGCTGAGCTGCTACAAACACAGACAGAGAACAAATTTAGCAGCCTGGATGATGAGCAAGTCCAAATACTGTTGTCCACTGCTGCCGAGGCTCCTGTGAAGCATCACCAGTGAATATTCAGCTAGCGTGTTTTGGCCCCTTCTTACCCAGTCGAGTCATTAATCATTCATCTTAATTATCTCAGTGGTATTTTGTGCTCCTCCCCCACCCACGCCGCCTGTCTGTTTGTGGTATCCATCTGTTGTTCCTAATCATATACTTGGACTTGCAAGATCTCTGGAGAAAGGGCCATTTACTCATGACGTGTGCACAACGCTTCACGCACTCCAACCTTGGCCACCGGCTGAGACCTCACATTAGGTCTCACCACAAATCACAGTAGCTAATGATAATCATCAGATACACTGTGCATGCATAGGCACACACATATATATATACACACACAGCATGTATACATTAGGAACGCGCATGCATGTAGAAGTCTACTGGGGACAGGTATGTCTGCGATCAAGGCAGGTGCCACTGAGATCAGGGGAAGGAGGAAAGAGAGGGGCACGTCAAACAGTTCCAAATGTGAAATTTTAGCTGAAACTATCTTCTGCCTGCTCACCCCCTCTAGCTGCAGCCCACAGCTTTGCAGCACCAAAGAGAGAAGGAACCACTCGCTAGAACCTCCGTTACAACACAGCTAGCTGCCCAGCACATGAAAACACCTTTCTGAATCCAACACACCGCATCGTGCACAACGTAGGGGAACACCTAAGATGTTCTGGGGTCCGGTGACAAATGTGCTAACGCCTGCATGGGCTTCCATGGGAGCTGTGGCAGCTTGGCACAGAAGGGAACAGCAATGTCAGTGAGACTCAACAAGTCTTCTCTGGCTTTAAGCTACTTGCCATCTCAAAACTTCCTTTTGATTTGGTGGATATAGTAAAAAATGGCTTGAAATGCTTCTGAAATGTATTTGTATGGGATCTGCACCTGAAATGGAACATTTTGCTGGACCTGGCCTGGAATGAATGATCAGACAAAAATCTCCAGAACTAGTTGTCCTCCATTTTCTTTCACATTTTGCGTGCTGAGATGCACTTCTCCTGCCTTCCCATATTCACAGACACATAGATACCAAGGCAGACAAAGACAAAGTCATCTTCTTTCTTACTTACACTGCAGATCAAACTAAAGCTCAGACATATCCTCTGCCAAACCCCAAGTCCAGTCTGATATTTCAAGCAAAGACAAGCAATGTCTAGGAGGCACAGAGCATCAACAAAGTTTAAGCCCTTGTGTAAACCTGCGTGCACGGAAGAGAAGACACAACTAGGACTAGGTGTGCCAGCTCCCTCCAAAATCCTGTGCTCCACATCAGCCGCATCAGGGATGTGCATGCTCAGAGCTGGTGGGAAAGGCTGTGATTCTGTGTTTCAGTCGGGGCTGAGTACCCAGCCAGCACTTGCAGCCCAATGTGATGGGTCTTCTCCCAGAAAAGGATATCAAGGCACTCTCCATCACTTGTGGCACCATCTCTCATGATGGAAAAGACAACTGAAGGATCTGTTGGCAGGAACAAGGAATTGATTCTGTTCCATGATGAGACTCCCTGCATGTTTTGGGAACAAACAGAGGACTTCACTCTGAAGAGCTGTCATTCTCCCTCCAACACCAAAGTAACTTCAAGAGAGATGGACCCAGGGATTTAAAAAAAAAAAAAAAAAAAGAGGCATCAGGACAAGGCATATACAATGGGTCTGTCTGGTACATTGCTAATGACTATCATCTGGCTGCAACAACGATAGGATGAGAAACTATTTCTTAATGTACACAGAGCAAAGGAAACCCCTTAAGCAAACATACCAGCAGAACAATTAGATGGTTAATCACAACGTTGGCCATGAGAGGTTTTCTCCATTTTTCCACTTCAAAGGAGCAGTGATTGTAAACAGGGTTGCCTCTTCTGGAGAGATGAGTCAGCACCCTGCCCGCGCCGGGGTTATCCTCACACTGCTGCTGTCGCTGTTCAGAGCATGTGAGTGCTCCCCGGGAAGGAGAAATGCTTTGCTTAGCTTGCGGTGCTCCACACCAGATCACACAGCGTTGCTCTCCACAGCCTCCCTCCTGGCACTCCTGAGAGGGTGCTGTGCATGTGGATGGGGAGGGGCCTCTGAGGGGGTTCTCCTACAGAGCGAGTACTCTCCAACTCCAGGTGAGGACAATGGAAGAAAAGCCACTGGATAGATCAGAGGAGCTATGGTACAGTTCAGAGATTTTGCTACCTGTATCCATCTTTGATCTAGGACAGTAGCAGGCTGAAAGGTATCAGCACTCACCACTAAGTCCGTGAGACAAACTGATCAGCTCCTGCTTTTTATGCAGGTCAGCTAGAGATGTTGTATGTGTGCTGGGTAACAGAACGGACTAGAAAATGGAGAAAGTCCCTCCCTTGGTCATGGCTAGCCCTGAAGGATCTTACCCAGACCCAGCAGGAGGTAAGCTCAAGCAGCTGTGCAGGACAGGCACTTTACACAAGTCCCACCTAACACTTCAGAGGGAAAGGTTTGCTCATAGACATGCTGGGATCACAGAAGACAGACAGGTCTCACTCTTCTTTCCACCATGAGGAACAAGTGCTGGTCCATGGTCTGCATCAATCTCTGCCTTTCAAGGAAAGGTGGATGCATCTGTGGGGAGGATGACAGCAGAAGCCCAGGCAGCAGCAGCAGATGAACACACGGTGTTGCTGTTGCCTGTCTCAGGAGACACACTAAAGAGCTAAGAAATGGAAGGGGAAGCATGCCTGTCCTAGGAGGACCAGCAAGTCTGTGTGTGTGACTGTGGGAATTCAACAATGGGCAGGGGTCCCACAAAGCGAACCCTCTTTTCCCCTCACACTCCCTTTGCTTCGTGCTCTTACACAAGTGGTAGTTACAGAATCTCCCACCTGGGTTTGGTGATGACACCCACGTGAGCTACGCCACTAGCATATGCCTATTCCCTACCTTTGTGAAACTACTTCTACACGTCGCTCACCACCCACTCTGCCAAAGGCACGAGCACCAAGAGGGCACACCCTTCTCAGCTCCATTCCTGTACCACCTGTGCCCAGGGGGTCCCACCTGGTCTAAGGTGCTCTACAGGGTGCTGCCAACAAACCAGGTCCTCATCCAGTCTCTCCCACCACGGAACAATCACAATTAGTGGAGAAACATCAATTGACACCAGCTGCAGGATTAGCCTGATGTTTCAATGCACTCTGGTCCTATGACTACCCACAATAACTGTGCGATAGACATTAGGTCTGCCGCAAATTTCCTCCCCGCCTCTGCTATGAGGGCCCTCGGCAACCCAGGGCATCACTGCCCAAAGTGCACTTGCCTAGCAGCTCCCTGGCTCTCCAGAGGACATTGTACCGCAACGACACTTGTTCCCTTCAGCTGTTCTCAATCTCTTAGCAGGGTTTTTCTCTCTCTGCTGGAGCTCTGAGCAGGAAGGAGCAGCCACAGAAGAGCTGGCTTTGCTCAGCAGGGCCTCTGCTCATTTCCTGAGCGCTTTTTGACGTGTTCCGTTTGTGACCAAGCTTGGGCTGGGATCCCAGCTGATATTTTAACTTCAGCCTCAATAGATTCAAACTTCAGCCACTGTAAATAATTTCCTAACATGCACTCCGCCTGCATTTTGGCAGTCTTGCTTGTGTACAGTATATTTATTTATTACTTTTTTTTAATGTTTCTTAGCTTTCTCAGTGTCAGCTGTCAAGAAGAAGATGGCATCTTGGTGAAACTGCCTGATCCTTGGTGAAGTCCGGAGACACCAAATTGGTTTGACAACTCTGTGCCTAATAATAATCACATTCTCTACTTAACGAGAGACAGATGAAGCGGTGTGCCATGTTCTAGGAGATGTTTACAGGACAGAGAACATTGGAACAATTACATGGCTTCAAACCAGGGAGCAATCTACATGAGGAACCTGGTTTCAGCAGTCATCAGGACCAGAAACTAAGCAGTCTGTAAACAAAAAGGATGCACAAATTCTCTGTTGTGGTAATCAATAAGAAATTTTACCCAGTCACGCTGCTTATTCCTAAGTCCTCTCAGAGTTGGCTTATGCCTTAAGACATTGGAATTCCTCACTCAGCCCAGCAAAGCACTTACTAAGCATTTATTAAGCTTGGGCTTCCTTTTACATATGCAGCCAGCTCCAATGGGATCATGAGTGTGTCAAAAGTTTATCAATTCATTACTTAGAAATTGTCAGGCTGAATTTTGCTTAACAGAAATGAGAGAGCTCTTGCACTTTCTTTGCGTGCCTTGTGCTACTGTCATGTCTGCTAGTCAAGAAGGAATCCTCCCACACAACATAAATAGGTACAGACCGCTTGGTCTCAGCCTTGAGGCTCTCTTGTGATGAAGGTTTCTCCAACCATCATTGGAGAAACACAGCACTGAAGAGGTTAACAGAGAGTGGCCTTCCCCTGGTGACTGTCTTTCCTAGCCATCAAAAGGAGGGTTAAACTCTCTGGAAGCAAGTATTCTACACCAAAAAGTCATCAAAAGTGCTGCACACGCCTCTTGTTGGGTGTCATCCATCCCACTGCCGTAACCTTTCATCAGAGTTCCCTTCACAGCATGTAAGAGCTGCACAGACATCTGAGGCCTCCTTCCAGGCTCCCCTTCTCCCGGAGCTTAATCTGAGGGCAAAGAGTGGAAATTCAAAACAAAGAGTAAACAAAAACAAGCCCTTTTAAGTGTAAGCAAGCAACACGTTTGTTTGGAAGCTCCTCGGCTAATTTTACTCCCTGTCTTCTGCTCACTCTGGAATTTCTTTTTTCTTCTTTTTTTCTTCCCTGCCTCGGTAACAAGAAAAAAAAAAGGGTCGGGGTGGGGGAGAAAAAAAGAGAAAGAAAAAAAAATTACTCCATAAGGAATCCTTTGTCCTGTGTCAGGGACCTGCCCAGTTCTGCAACCATAGTGTCAATGGATGAGGCAGGGTGGTCTTATCTCCTGCTAGATACCCATCAGGTATCTGACGGGAAACCACTTCCAACTTTGCTGCTTGCTTCAGATTCAGTAGGTAGATCTGTTACTGGATGGCCCAAACTGAAGCCCCAAACATCTGGAGAGTTTGGCTCCAAGTCAAGGTCTGATCTGAGCTATTCTAGAAATTCCAGTTTTGTCTGGCCCAGAAGTTGTTGGCCATCTGCAGAATGGAAATGGGAGTGGAAACCTGTCATCGCAAGATGGGAGGAGTAGGGAATGAATTGTAGGCAGGCTGCTTTAAGCTCATCAGGCTGGCTACCCAGCTGGCAGAAATCTAGCATAGCTGCAAGACAGTCAGTGGAACCACATGGATTCACACCACCCAAGAATCTAGCCTTCTTCAAAAAAATTCATGGCACTCCAGGATTTAATGGATAGCTGACAGAAAACTTGACATTTATTAAAATGCAATAGCTCTATGCCTTCAGTTTACAGTGGGAGGACATTTCCAGTACGCATGAGAAAACTCCAAGAAGTCCTCCAGCAAACTCAGATTCCTGACACCTGTATTGCTTGGTTGCAGGCACATAATCTAGGAACTTGACCCCTGTTGTGCTTGGTGTGGCCCAAGCAGACAGCAAAAAGATGATCTCCTCCAGAGAGTTTGAAAAACCTAATTTTCAGGACATTTCTTTGTACCTCATAAAGGAGCAAAGAAATACACAACCTCCACTCGTGTATGAGTTGCGCTGCTTGAGGGTCTATCAGACAGTCTTTGCCCATGGTATTAAACCATTCCCTTAAAGGGAATGTGGGGAGGGAAGGAAGGCTTTGGAGGCAGCTATTTTTAAGCCAGGACAGTGTTCTACCAAACCGTGTTGCTTCCAGTTTCAGACAGAGGTCAAAATGTTTTGATGCCACCTTTTTCACATCGTCTGAAGCTTGGGCCGTCCCAGCTGAGGCTGTCACAACCTTCATGCCTGCTAGCCCACATTTGTCCATGATGGACAGGATTATTTGAATGAGGATTCTCAGACACTGAAGAAAATCCCTAAGGATTGACTTCTTTAAAAAAAAGAACAAAACCAAAAAAAAAAGCCCCAAACTATTCAAGGTGACCCTCCATATATGTGATAGTTGTCTGCATAGGTTAGGACATCATTAATATACAGAGTCAAGAAGAAAAGATGCCTGGCATTGAGCTGTCATTGAAATGAAAAGCAGAGACAGAGCCTGCAGTGTTGAAAATGAAGGGGAATGGAGTGTGCAATGTTTCTTTTCTGGGGGTAAAGGGCAAGCTATCATAGGTCTTCCAGGATGTCCTTTGGTACCTGTTTCTGTGTTAATAGCTTCTTTCAAAGTTTCGTCACCAACAGAGGCGCAACTATTTAGTCTGCCTTAGCATTATATTGCACATAGATTCTGGAGGAGAGTCCTAGTCAAGATCCTTAAAAGAACCTAAGCCTTGCAGAAGTTATCATGAGCTGCTTTATATTACCCCTGATTTACCAGCAGGGAAACTGAGGAAGCAGGTGGTAATACACAACACGGTGGTAGATGAGAAGAGAATGTCTCACCCCAGACTTCCAGCCGTTTGGCTCTGCCTACCAGACAATGTTGGCTCCTAGGTAAATAACGGAGCTGTCACACCCAAATGTTATTTTTAAACCGTGGGTATTGGGTTTGGCACAAACTCCAGCAAAGCACAGCACGACCAAGGGAGTCCTGAGGAACAAGTGCCCTGCACAGATGGAGCTGCTTTGGGGAAACCTTCTTGTTCTGCTACATTTATGCAATCAGTTGAATGGGAGCCCAGACTCCAATCTATCAGCTGCACAAGAGCACAGGGAGAGCCTGCATGAGGAGAACATGGCAGGACAGCGGAGCTGGCTCCACCAGCCACCACCTCCTCCACCCTGGTGCCCTGGCCCAAGCCGCGCCAGTCAAATCCATAGGGGGGCAGCAAACCCTTTGCAGTCATGGGACTTCATTCCCAAAATTATTCTCTTCCAAACTCTCTCCCTGGGCAGCTGGAGAGCCCCACACATACACAGCACCTCTGAGAAGGACAGCATGGGCTCTGCAAGCTTGGGGGTGGGGGGAAAGATGGGCCTGCAAAGTCTCTTTGAACTGGACATAGGTGGCCAGTTCAGTTCAGCAACCTAGCTAGGGGGGGACACGGTGCATGTGAGCCCATCAATGGGGCCAGCAGGGCTCTGGGAAAGCAGGTGAGTTGTGCAATGCACAGCTGGGTTCAGGTTTCACTATGGAAACACATGCTGCTTCCATGTGAGACTGCCAGAACCCTTTTGTGGGTCAATGGATGCAGGCTCGCTTTGAGAGACTTGGGGCATACAGGGTCCAAGATGCTTGGGGCTTTTAGAACCGCATCAATATGGCAACAACGCAAGGACAGCCACACTGGCTCAGATCAAAGGTCCATCTACCTCCATATCCAGCTCCCACGGTGACCAACAGCAGAAATGGAGGAAGGAGCATAAGAAAAGGGTGCACATGGACTTACTCCACCCCAGGATGCTCCCCTGCCTCCAGAGGCACACAGCTCCAGCCAGCTTCATGGTACCCCATGCCCGTACACTTCCATCTCACAGCTGCAGCTTTGGCACAAAGCAAGCCTGGATTTAAGAAAGGAGCCAGAACTTGCATTTAATCTGTTTGTGTAGACAGAGCCCAGATGCAGAAGCGGATGGAACTGTACTACAATGAACACAAACCCCTTGTCCATTATAACTAGTTAGCCTGTGAGTGACCCTGACTCTCAGGGTACAAACTTTGTTTCGAGGGCCGTGCTAACTGTGCCCGCTCTCTCCTCTCAGAGGTCTCCAGTCAAGCACCTCTAGAAACTTGCATTCATGCGATGGAAGGCAGGAAGGTACCGTTGTCGTGATCTGTATTGCAGTGGTGCCAAAAGCCCCAGCACAGGTGAGCGTTTGCAGGCCCAGCGCTGAAGGAACACTGTGCAGAGAAGACCAAAAAACCCCACTTTGCTACACCCCATCACTCAACAAAACTGCGAGCCGGCTTTGCTCTCCAGGCAGGCAAGGGAGAGCAGACTAGGAGGCACGCAGGTGACTTACCCAATAGCCCACAGGCCAGTGGTGGAGCTGGGATTATCTCACAGCTTTCCCAATTTCTCTCCCACCCCACCCCAAACTCCAGCCACACTGTCCGTTTCCTGCTTGATTTTGCTTCTCTCCCCCCAGCTGCCTACTGAACAGGCTTCCTACAGTGCCTTTTAGGCAGCTGTCAGGTTTGGATGAGTGTCGCCACTCCATGGAATGGGCTGTCCCCCTCTGCACTGTCCCTGCGTGTGCTCTTAACCCTGATTTCCCACTGAAGTAAATGAGAAAAGAGCAAGACAGATAGCTCCACGGCAGCTGGATGGGAGCTCACCTCCCCTTCTCTACAGGAGACAGTTTTCTCCTCCACCAGCAGCTTTCCCCAGAGACCCTTTTGTCCTCAGCTCCCTCCTGGGGGGGAAAAAAAAAAAAAAATAAAAAAATTCTTCCTTCTCCCTCTACCCTCCTGAAAAAGAGCTAGTTCCCTTCCTCCCAGCTCCTAATCCCTCTGACATGCTTCAGATGTGGGGTTAACCCTAGGGAAGGGTAGATAGGTGAAATGGGCTCACTCTTGTTTCTACTTTTCTCCTTGGGGGTGTGTGTGTGTGAAATCAGTCTCACCCATTCCCTCCAAGCTGCTCCATCATCAAACTGGCGTTCCCCCTCCCTCAGCCCCTAAGCATGCTCTCCAGCTGCTGCTGGCCTCCACTGGTAGCATCCCAGACTAAACAACTCTATCCCCCTTCCTGCAGCTCACCTACCTGCTCTGGCTACTGCCCGCCTGAGCTCAGGGAACAGCCACAGTCACTACACCAGTTCCTAAGCTGTACTGGGCTCCCAGGGAGGGGAGGAGAAAAAAAATCCTCTTCCTGGTGAAGAGAAAGGAAAAGGGAGAGGCTTTGGGAGCAGGTTAAGAAATGAGTGTGCAGATGCAGGGAGATGCAGCCCTAGCAGAAGCCAGCCTTGTCAAAAGACCTCTCCATGCTAATGCTAGCAGAGGGGTGCCTGCCATCTCAACCCCTCTGCAGCAGTAGCCTACCCAGCCACGTCTCCCATCTCCATTTACCTTACAACAGCATCCTTCCCCCAGGATCCCATACAGTGATCTTTAAAAAGCCTTCTGTCTGGCCCAGCTGTGCAGATGCCCAGGACAAATGTAGGAACAGAGGAGAAACTGATTCACCCCAACGCGAGTGTGCCTCGCTCTGTCACCAGCGCTGCACTATGCCAGACTAAATTACTTTCATGGTTGCTTCTGGCCATAAGGATCTAAGCACTGAGGGGAGTGATGGGAGTCCACGCAGAAAGCTCGCAAAGCATTTGCCTGAAGATACCCGACGTGCAATCCTCTGAAACTTCACAAGCAGAAAACTTCCCTGAGAAATACCAAAACAACAAACCCGGAGCTCTGAGGTTCAAGTAGCAAAGGCTGGGCTAGATAAAATTTTCCTCAACATTGCTCCCCATGGCGGAGAACGAAGCTGGCTACCTGGCGTATGGTGAGGAAAACAGCCTCCAGAACTGCGACAAAACCTGGGGTTGGTTCCAAGAGGAGGGCTGTACAGAGTCCTCTGCAGGAAAGAAAGGTTTATCAAGGTCTTTTCTGTCTGTTCTGAAGCTGGTTTTGATTAAAGAAGGAATTACCACCAGTTCCCTTCCCTTGCCCCAGTAACGCATAACACACCATCCCCATTTCCTTCACTGCCAGTTTGCTCTAATAAAAAGCAGAATTATGCCTGAAAAGCATGTTGCACAAAGATGGACCTGCCAAGCACTCAAATAAATGCATTCACCAGCAGTCAGTCAGACACATGCATCCACAAATCCCTTGCTTGCCTGTAAACAAGACGGATCACCTTCTCAGCTGCTGTGGACAAATTTCAAGCTGCTGTGGAAGAAACCTCTCTCCTCCCAGGTTTTAGTGCTGTGCGCAAGGTGATCTGGAAGGGCAGGCTTGCAGAGCTACCTGCCTTTGCAAATCTCAAGTCCTGATACCTCCTGGTCTGTGAAAGCTCTCCATGGATGCCAGTGGTTTTAATTTCAGGCTCTAACATCTGAATGGTCTTTGCCTGAGCGGCCACACAGGTCAGCACCAAGCGGAGGTAACCTCACTGGCATCCGTGCGACACCTGGCAGAACATTAAAACGGTATTAGAACAGCACCCCAAATGATGCAGCAAGACATGGCCATCATTCGAAGCAGGCTTAGTTAAGTTAAGCACTTCAAATGTCATGCTTCTCAGACACCAGCTATTTAACACATTTATTATATAATAAGAATTACAGAGGGGCTGAAAGGAAAGTGAGGGATGGTTTCCACCAGGGCTCTCCTGAGTAACTGCCACCAGAAAAGTTTGACAGAGTCAGAGAGATAGAGTAAAAGCCTTGACAATAGCCATTTCCACCATGCTGCAAGTCTACAGCGCAGGGTATAACTTCCAAAAACCATTCAGCAGCATCTTCCGGGGAGGAGAAGAGAGGAATGAATCCGGCTGAATCCAGCCCTGGTGCCACTGTAATGTACGGCAGCGAACTGACAAGGCAGAGAACAGCCTCTAAATTATTTGTAGCACTGCGGCACACGAACACAGAGCAAGCCAGCCGAGCGGTATGAGACCTCCCTTGTGAGGAACACCCATGCAGGTGGCAGCAAGCAAGAGGGAAACCTGGCAGGACAGTGGGTGCTCCTGCCCCAGCCAGGCAGAGGGAAAGGCGAGGGCTACAAGCCATGCATCCTCCCAAGTGCCGCTGCCAGCCCAGAGCGGTTTGTTCTCTCCAGTGGCTAATGGGGCTAGAGCCACTTCAGCAACACGGGAGAGATGCTCCAGGAGCGAAAGCCAAACAGCACAGGAACAGACTGACAGGAGCCATGTCCTCTTGCTCAGGGCAGCCTGCAGCTCCCCGTCCCTTGAGTGCCTCCAGCAGAGAAGTACCTGCCCATCACATGGAGGTGGGGACAGTGCCTAGAAGGGGCAGTGGCTTGCATGTAAGGTAACAGCAGTGCTACCAAAACCAGCATAAAATAAAGACACATCAGGCAGTTTGCTCTGACCCACCCTCCTGCCCTGGACCTCAGCCCCACGGTAGGCACAGCCCAGCCACGGCCAGCTGGAAGCTAAGGGAGAAAGGTTGGGGCAGCCCAACCGCAGAGGCTGTGGGGATCCTGGGCAGCCTGAGAAAACCAGCACAGCTCTCTTCCATCCTTTCTGGCTTCTCTTCCCCCTCTCCTTCCCCCTCTGCACCAGCAAGCATATCTCAGCAGTCAGGAACTGATCAAAGCCCTCCGTCTGGCAAGCTGCCTCTTCTCCTGTGGGACAAGCCCCGCGGCATGCTGCAAAGGGCCTTTCCCCCCTCCCCCTTTTCTGCAAGCAGGAGGAAATGCAGGGTCTTCCCTCTCTTTCATCTCCCAGTTTGATTTCCCTTGCTCTGGTTCTTAGAGCTTGAAGTCGGTGGACGGTTCATTAAAGGAGAGGGAAAACAAGCCACACCAACGCTCGCATAGCTCCATGGCGAGATTCTCTGGTGGAAAGCATGACAGAACATTACAGGAAGGGGTCTCTTCTGAGAGGATTTTTAATCTAGCTATGAAACATAGGTAAGGGTTATACCCTGGGTTTTATTATATTGCCTATAACAAGGGGTGTTCTAGGCATCTAGGCGTTTTAGATCTAAGCATTTTATAGGTGCCTGGTCAGCGTCGCCAGCTCCACACATCCAAATATCAGGAGATGCATTCAAAACATCGAGAGACCAGCTTTAAATAATCACAAGCCCTTTATTATTTAAAACTCCAAAAGACAGACCTTCCTTTCTTTGCCATCTGTTTTTCTGAGGTTTTCAGATTCATGCCATCACACTTTGCATGTATAAAGGCCAGGTTTGGGTTTGGTTGTTTTTTTTTTTCTGAGCACAAACTTACGGGTCTCATCTAAATCCCACGACCCTTGAAGCTTAGTCTCCGGAGAAGAAAAAACACCAAATACAGGAAGATTGCCCCAGAATTGACAACCCTGCTTTCTAGCTTCCTTCCCAATAAATTATTTTGCATCTTTCTGACAGCAGGGCACAGGTTGCTCTAATCATATGGCCACAGCTATCTAGAAGGGACAAGCATTTGGGACAAGGTTTTGACAAGGAACACTCACATACGTATATCAGAATAACAAAGTCAACATGTTCACCCAAAACTGTATGTCTCCTTCCGCTATTTCAAGCCACATCACGCATAATAAGATTATGTACCCCCTATCCATCCTCTCAGTACTTGGGTGTGCCTAATTTCCTCCCAACATTGCAATTGCTCCACTGATAACAGGAGAAATCAGGCTGGACTCCGCTCTCACTCCTGGTACTGTCCTACCAGACAGCTCCACAAATTGTCCAGCCTTACACTGGTGCAACGAGCACAAAATCTGTTCTTCCCTGGGAAATGCTGCTAAACTCTCTAGGCCACAAACAGAACACCAGAGCGCCTTAAACAGGATTAAGCGCTGCTTGAACTTTGCAGTCCATCTTCAGACATTTCAAGGCAGAGTGTTGTAACAAGAA